CACCGTTGTAAATCCTGCGCCTCTTGCGCTCTGCGGCTAATAGAGCCGCGTTTGCGCCCTAGGATACTGTGCCTTCGTCATGCAGCTGTCTATACGAAGCTTACAGCTCATCACGCATGGAAAACTAAGCTGTGTTATACAAATCCAATCAAGATGTATGTAACGACACTACGTCAGATGCGCGTCTCCTCTTTAAAATGGTGTGATTAGAGGAGGAAGTTTTGGCTTCAAAATCTTTCAGAAACTGATCTAAGATAATTCTCTCTTAAATATTCTATCTAAAAAATATCACTCAAAACCGGTCGCAGCCTGACTTGCAACAAATTTGGAAAACTTCCACTACCCTACGTGATAAAAGGCAGTACAGTAATCTTGAAAGGGCCCAGACCCTAATTTACCCTAATTTCACGCATATAAGACGCACTTCCAATTTTTCAACGAGCCGATCAGCCGCTTCAATGTTCTTCGGAGAACAATTCTTATGCTTAACGATTCTTTTAAGCAATATACATCTCGGTACAGGGTCCTTTGGTTGCAAAGTCCTTTGGTTTGTTTGGGGTGATCGATTTTAGAAAAAAATCGCCCGCGCCTTGTATGCGTGAAATTAGGGTAATAAGATTTATTGATGCTGTGACTAGGCGCACAAACCAAAAAAATATAAGTCACGAGCAGAATCATACCTGCCAGCTAGTCAGACATGGAGTGCACAATAAATGTCCACATGGTTCTATTTTCACGTTTTTATCGTTGTCGTCACATATTTTGCACAGCTCAAATGTTGTCCCCATTTCACAATATAGGTCGTATTGTTCACTGGTAACCTGAAAATTAGCTAGAATAGTCTAAAATGTATATATTTAACAAGTTAGTGCCTACCTTGACTCTATCTGCGGGAGGTACTTCTATCACAGTACTCAGATCTATATCCTTCGGGTTGCCGTTGGGATAAAGGTAGCTGAACCACACAGATTGCAACACAGAAAAGAACGACCACAGAATAAACTCACAATCCCTCTTTGCCACCTTCATGCAGGGCCTGAATTAGCGATTTATTCTGCGGGATGGTTTGGAATATTTTGCCATCTGGAGCTACATAGCCTATCGCCCACTGGCCTGGGCGTGTACAGGAGAGGCGAAAGACGTAGCTGAAGTGGAGTAAATAAGGATACGTCAAAAAAGCACTCCAAGTCTATGCAAAACTACCTTCCAGGCTTGTCCACGAGCTTCTCCAGTTTCTTCTTCACCTCGTCATACGTAAGAAATGCGACATACCCGGGATGTGCAGTGGTTAGCAACTGCCAGTTCCGTAACAATGTTTTCCATGGATAGAATAGTCTAAACACAAGTATTTGAGTTCGTGCTACACAGTAAGAGAAAGCTATTGCGGACCTCGTGAAAACATCAAATTCGAAATTCGAAACATGGTCGTTCCCAGTAAGATCTACGGTGTTTTTGAGGGCAGACAATTTCAACTTGGAGTTTGGTTGAGACTTTTCTATAGCAACGACGAACTCAGTCCAAGGTACACAAGTCCTTAAAAATTATTATTGTGCATGGGAAAAGTAAAAATGAAAACGCACGAACCTATTGTGGAAATTGGTGTTCCAAAAATCCTCGGCCTCACGCTTTGTTATCCGAAATTTATCGCCTAAAATAGAGCTGTTCATGTGCAAATTTGATTGCTTCAGTCAACTGCGCAAGATGTGCTACACATACCTATAAACGTCCCATCAGGAAATTCAGCTTTTAGTTCAAATAGCATATGAGAGAAGATGAGAGATAATTTCGTCAGAGTACGTCTCTCCTGTGATTGTTCTTCGAAGATAGCATTGGTTTTGAACAATTTGAGTACCTGAAATTTGAAGGAAATAGCCTTTCAAGGAAAGGATGCATAGCTAATCATGCTTGGTGAACAATATATTTCTAGCTTAGAAAAATTTGTGAAACTACAACTCCCATGGGACCACGCTAAGATTCAACCACGTAAATGCGAATAGTAAATTTTTGAAGCATTACTGAGGGAAAGCCGATGTAGAATGACTGACCTGTTTACATTTTTGTTGCATATTCTCCAGGAAGATCTGTATATAGTAATTGTCCCGTAGAATAACATGATTTTGAGTGAAGATATAGACAAGCTGGAAATTCAGGTAATTGAGTGAGCATTTGAATGCTATACAAAAACGGAAACAAAAAAGGAAGCATTGACTACCTGTGTATAAGTATCAGGCAATATGTCCAATATGAATGGTGGAGAGTTTTTCAGGTTTAGCCGGTGATTTTGGCATGCTTTGACAACATCGTCCATCAATTTGAACGTTTTACAGAGAGTTCGGCGATCCTAAAGAAAAACAATAGGTATCCAGTTAGAAAGGGCAACCCTCCGTCTTTTGCTGTGACAGCATTAGCAAAAGCAACGCATCCTACATAGTGAGACCTTGCTCTCAATTTTTTCCTCCTTC